ACTTTTACTTCCTTCTTTAGACGCCAAAAATGATACAAGATTTGATATTATTGAAAAAAAGAACGTGTTTCTTTCACGATCTAGATTAATTTCGATAGGTACGTAAAACATGTGAAATATTGATAAAAACAACTTTACTGTATCTAGGTCATCAGTCCACAAGTAGTCGTAGTAAATTATCGTCGAAGGCATTTAAAATGTGTATTCTTATGAAAACATCAATGAATCTCAAGGTAAATTGGACGTAAATTGAATTATATATTAGACGAGTGCAATTTCCAAATTTGTTAGTGCTTTAAAATCTTTATCGTTACCATTATGTTGGAATTAATAAAAACTGTTTTATAAACATAATTGGTTAGAATATTATATTTAGGCTTTAGACTTGATTCAAAGGTCCCAGGTTCGATACCCAGCCTGTTGTCAGGCAGCAGTGACAACGATTTTCACTTAGAAATATAGATAGCAACATGTTTCCAAGTGAAAATAGTCCTTAATCCGGCATTGTTGCACCAATAAAAATGCCAGCCCTATTAGATAAACTCTAATAATAAAAAATCATCAAATATGGATGAATTTGATTGACTTTAGATGGTAACCATTGGGTTACCATCTGAAGAATACGAAGTAAAGAGAAGTTTCACCTCAACAGTTTATAGGACTTAAGGTTCTGATTGCTATCAAAAATATATAAAAAAAATATTATAATTAAAAAGAATCAAAAGTTTAATCGACAAAAATCTATATAATTAAATCAAGGTAAATTGGACGTAAGTTAAATGGTATATTGGACAAACGCAATTTTCAATTTTTTTAGTGTTTTAAAATCTTTATTGTTACAATCATGTTAGAAATAATGAAAACTCTTTTCTAAACATCACTAGGTTAGAATACTACAATTAAAAATAATTAAAAGTTGAACCGACAAAAATCTATATAATTGATTTATATAATTAAATCAAGGTAAACTGGACGTAAATTGGTATATTGGGCAAACAAAAAAATTTTTTTAACGTTTTAAAATCTCTATCGTTATAATTTTGTTTGAATTTATACATACTGTTTTATAAACATTAATAGGTTAGAATATTATAATTAAAAATACTCAAAAGTTAAATCGACGAAAATTGGACGCAAGTTAAATGGTATATTGGACAAACGCAATTTTCAATTTTTTTAATGTTTTAAAATCTTTATCGTTATAATTATATTTGAATTTATAAAAACTATATTATAAACATTAATAGGTTCAGATATTATAATTAAAAATAATCAAAAGTAGACAAATCTAAAAAATTAAATCGAGGTAAATTGGACGTAAATTTAATAGGACAATATTGAAATAGTGGACGAACACAGTTTTCAATTTTTTTAGTGTTTTAAAATCTTTATCATAATAATTATGTTTTAATTATTAAAAACTGTTTTATAAACATTAATAGATTAGGTTATTATAATTAGAAAGAATCATTAGTTCAATCGACAGCAATCTATATAATTAATTAATATAATTAAATCAAGGTAAATTGGACGTAAGATGAATAGTTAAATGTTAGTTGAATATGTATATTGGACAAACGCAATTTTCAAATTTTTTAGTGAATCAATAAAAACTGATTTATAAACATTAATAGGTTGGGATATTATAATTAAAAATATTAAGAAGTTGAACGGACAAAAGTCTATATAATTGATCTATATAATTAAATGAAGGTAAAATGGATGTAATTTGTATGGTATATGAACAGACGCAATTTTCACATTTTTAGTGTTTTAAAATATTTATCGTTACAATTATATTTGAATTAATAAGAAGAGTTTCATAAACATTAATAGGGTGGGATATTATAATTTAAAAAATCAATCATTGAATCGACAAAAATCTATATAATTAAATCAAAGTAAATTGAACGTAAATTGAAGAGTATATTGGACGAATTTTAACTTTTTATTGTTTTGAAATCTTTATCGTTACACTTATGTTTGAATTAATAAAAACTGTTTTATAAACATTTATAAGCTGGGATAATATAATTAAAAAAAATCAAAAAGCGAATTGTATCGACGAAAGTCTATATAATTAAGCCTAGGTAAATTGAACGTAAATTGAATGGTATTAGACAAATGCAATTTTTAAAGTTTTTAGTATTTATTTTTATTTTTTTTATATAAATTTTAATATAATTTTTATACATCTCAGAGAGACGGAAGTGTTTGGTATGAAAGATTGTACAAATTAAAAAACTCTTCTTAAAAAAATCGTTTTAAGATCTTTATCGTTACAATTATGTTTAAATTGATAAACATTAATATGAACTTAGGATATAGGTTAGGATATTATAATTAAAAAAAAATCAAAAGTTCAATCGACAAAAATCTATATAATTAATTGAAGGTAAATTGGACGCAAGTAGAATGGACAAACGCAATTTTCAAATTTTTTAGTGTTTTAAAATCTTTATCGTTACATTTATGTTTGAATTTATAAAAACTGTCTTATAAACATTAATAGGTTAGAATATAATAATTATAATTAATAATTAAACATTAATAATTAAAAATCTTTATAATTAAACCAAGGTATATTGGACGTAAATTAGATAGTAGATTGAACGAACGCAAATTCCAAACTTTTTAAATATTTTAAAATCTTTATCATTACAATTATGTTTGAGTTATTATAAACTGTTTTATAAATATTAATAAGTTAGGATATTTTAATTAAAAATGATCAAACGTTGATTCGACGAAAACCTATATGATTAAAAAATATATAAATCGAAATAGGCTGCTAATGGAAGAATTAACCCTTTCCACTCGCAAATTGCAAAGTGTCAAACAAATAAAAGCTAGACATAAAAAACATTTTTTGGAGCATCTGAAAAATTACAAAGACATAGTAGAATAATCAAGAACCTTATGCGCCCTTATACATAACATACTACATATCAATATTTCTAAGCTGTTTTATATAAGAATCTACACAGTGTAAATTATATAAAATAATAATCAATATCATCACTTTAGTATTTCACTCAATATGCTGTACATGATTTTTCTTTTTTGCCACTTAAATTTGTAAAACATAAAAAAATTAAATAATTAAACTACTAACAAGCTCAGAAAGTATTATTTCCGTTTTATCATCGGAAATTAAAATTGAATCATTTCATAGATAAGATATCAAAAAACATGAAATACGTATTCTATCAATTGACAGCAGTTCATTAAGCATGTGTTTTATGCTAACTAAAACGCGGTTGATGTCATCGAATTGCTCAAAATTTAAAGCTGTTTTTCCAGTGTCTATAAAACAGCTTAATGCTGTTTATAATTTACAAATATACCAATAAAAATCGTCATTTCCAAAAGCAAAGACAATCGATAAAGCTCCGAATCGCGTACGGGTGTCCTATCCGCACACAGAGAGCGCAGCGACAGCGCACCGAATAGACGGAGAGCCGGGAAGATTTGAATAGTCACTCATTTTTGATATTTTTTTTTAGATATTATAAGGTTGTCAAATATCTCCCTTCCGCCCTTTTGTATTATAAACCAAGAGCAAAAAAGCGGAAGGGAGATATTTGACAACCTAATATATTGTATTTAAATAACACAATAATTGTTTATACTTATGTCGCAGATAACTGATTTAATAAATTTATAACAACAAAAAAAACTGCTGTCTGTCACAGGAAATAAACTTTTGAAAAGTCGGTTTTCAAGACCAAGATTAGCGTTAAAGCAATATGAAGAAAATTTGATTATAGCTGAAAATATTTTTTATTATTTCAATATAGATAGCAATATGTTTCCAAGTGAAAATAGCCCTTGCCCGGCATTGTTGCTCCGATAAAGTCAGCTCTATCAGATAAATTCTAATAATAATTTCAACAAATATGAATGGATTAACCATTGGATTACTATCTACGAAGTAAGGAGAAGTTTCAGTCCAAAAGCTCATAAGACGTAAGGCTCTGATTGTTGTTAAGATATGAAAAAAAGTCTCATAACTGTACATACCAAAATAAAATATTCATTGTCAGATATATAAGGTGATAGAAATCTGTGCTTACATTACAGTAGAAATGATACTTCAAATGCTTACATCTCAGCCAAATTAGCTGACCACTCGATGGAGTGGCAGCTATTGAAATTTTTAAAATTCAGCCAATTTATTATGTGTGTGTGTATGACTGTGTGTGAGTATGTTACTGTGTGAGTGAGTTTAAACATAAGCACAATAGCTCATAGAATTTTGTAAATTCTGATTGCTATTAAATAAAGTATGAAAAAAAATGCTTACATAATATAAGGTTGTCAAATATCTCCCTTCCGCCTTTTTGTATTATAAACCAAGAGCAAAAAAGCGGAAGGGAGATATTTGACAACCTAATATGTATAATTTTTTTTTAATTTTATTTTCAATAGCAATCAGAATACAGAACAATTCTATGAGCTATTTGGTTTATGTCTTTCACTTGCACACATACACACACACTTTCAAACACATATATAAATTAATCTGATAAATATTATAGTTATAGTTGATTTTACTATTCTGTTCATATGAAGTTGTGGTAGTTCTAAGATTCCTTAATATTATCTTTAAACAGCTACTTCTTCAATGTTCTTGAAATTGGTGTATAAAATATGTATAAAATAAGATACAAAATGAGACAAAGGTGAAATTAAATATTCGCTATAATTATATTTTCTTTATGTTGGTAAACGCTGATCTTGATGTTAAAACCGATTTTTCATTAGTTTACTTGCTGTGACAGGCAGCAGTTGTTTTGAAAAGACAGTTTTATTTTGTTTATGAAAGTAAATTCGCTTTGAACATCGGCCAGAGACAAGTGAGTGTATTACCAAACGTCAAAATTAATTAGCATCCCACCGACGTTGTGGGCGCCCTTACTACATCGGACCGACTCAAAAGGCGAATGATACACAAGACCGCGAGCAATGATCTTCTGTCAAATGACAACTCAAAGTACCTGAGGAAGATTGGCGGCAATCTGTCGGTGCAAAGAGTCTCGTTCCTTTTCGGCTTCCTGGAGTTTAATTTCGGTGTCACCTAATCTTTCTTGGGTCTCACGCAAACTGTCCATCAATTTGTCGCGCTCATCCAACATAGACACCATCAGCTGCTCGAAATTGGCGTCCTCGCCGGAGAACTGCGAACTCCGCTGGCTGATGCTGTCCTCCGAAATCGTGGGCATCACATCGCACATCATATTCCACATGTCTGCCACTCGAGAGAGGGCCTCGAGCACTCTCTTAGATCTACACTACACTCTAGGGCAGACGCCGATATTTGATTTACACTACTATTATCTAGAATTTACGAAACGCTGCGATAGATTTATGTCATTATTATTTTCTGGCGTACTGGAAAATATATCACGATATTTTAGCAACATTATAACTCAATAATTGAAGACACACCCACAATCAGTCATCACACCATCATTTCAATCACTACACTCCCTGATCACTGACAGCCATCTTGAAACTCTTTAAACCTGACGTCAAGTAGACGCAGGACGCTCTCGGCGCGGCGCGTGTCCAGGCTTAGTTGGGAAACTCGAATTTCGGTCGCAGTTGTCTATATACGAAAATTACGACTAAATCACGCCTCAAATAAAAAATTACGCGATAAACGTATTTGTTTTAAAAATATACAATGTTGATGTGCATATCTATATCAATTATAACAGATCTTTAGTATAAAAAAGCTTAATAAATTCAAATCTAAATAAAGTTTAGTGTTGCAGGCCATCACGAGATGCCTTTAGAATTAAATAACTTGCTGTGACATCTATCACCATATACAAAATATAGTTTTGACTACTACTAATAATAATAAATAATAATGATAAATAAATCATAATAATTTATTATTAAAATTACAGTAAAATCCGTTTAGTATGACATCGTATGGACACAACAAATACGTCATTATAAGCGGACGTTATGCAAAGCGTTTTGCAACAATTTTTTTTATGTAAATATTTATGTACTCAAATATCAACACAGTGTAATACTTTGCACGGGTATACATACATATAAATGAAAATAAAAATTGCACATTATATGTATTTTTAAATATGAATAATTTATAATTTTTTGCATTTTTTTTATTTTATTGTAGAAACCTTCTCTAATACTATTGTATATAATTCTTCCCATATTTTCGGGGCTGTTAAAAAACTGTGAGTTTCGTTTTCGTGACTAATCTTACTTTTTGCACGTTATTAGTACATTATGCACTTACAAATGTATTTTTAAATATGAGTGATTTATAATTTTTGCCTGATTTTTTCTTCATTTTATTGTAGAAACCTTCTCTAACACTATTGTGTATAATTCATCCCATATTTTCGGGGCTGTTGAAGAAACTATGAATTTCGGTTTCGTGATTAATCTAACTTTTTGTGAAGCAAAGGAATTGCTTGTTGGTCAATATAACAGCACATACTTAAATAAAAATGTGTCATAATAAGCGAAATATTACCGTAAGTCATTATATCAGTTTTTCATGATCAATTTTATATAAAAACCAAATTTTGAGTGTATTACCTCATAATAAACAGTAGGTCAATATATGCAGAGTCATACTAAGCCGATTCTACTGTATATTATTTATTATAATATTATATTATATATTATAATATTATATTATATATTATTTGTTATATTAATTCATTATACTATCAATATTATAAAATAAAATTAAAACTCAAAAAATATGGTTTAAATATATTCTTTATTATAACGGAGATTATTTATAGATTTACGATTTTCCATTTTGACCTCCTAGGGTTACGATTTTGCATGAATTTTTAGTGCTTTTGTTTTATCCACACAGTGTTTTGATTAAAGAAAATAATTGTAAATAATTTTAAAACGATAAAAATGGCAAGCAGCAAAAATATTTTAAAAACTTATCCGAAAGTGATGTTGAGTTTGGTGAAGAAAATGATGTTTCAAGTGATGATAGTGAATTTTTATCTCCCAGGAAAAAAATGCACGTAGGCTCAGGTAAGATTATTAAAAGTTAAAAATTTAATAAATATAGTTGAAGATTTTGAAACAATAAACAAAGATACTGCTAATATTATATTTATTATTATAAGATAATTAAAAAATAAGTTGTATCCCACTAATAATATATAGATATGTTATACATAGCTATTTAGAGATTTTAATTATGAAGTCGTACGAAGAGTGTCTGCATTCACAATTATATTTTCGCGTCTTATCATTTTTTGAGAATTTAATTATTTTGTTTGAATATTTACTGTATATAAAAAATTTTAATATATCTAAAAAGTACGATTTTTTATGTTTTTTATCCCTATGAAATCCTTGCCTAAAAATCATCGTAACGACTCTAAGCTCATAAACGTTCAATTCCTGGAAAGGATAAATGATAATGTCAATTTGTGTGGAGATTTATCTATTTATTGATTTCGCTGATTAATTTGATAAGACTATTTAAATCATATATGCAAACAATAAAAATTTTCTCACGCTAAAGGCCAAGTTAACAGAAGAAAAAATTGTTTAATATTTCTCTATCTCATTAATTAAATTGAAAGATGTATAATTAGAAAAACCTCGTTATAATCTAAGATTATAACCATATGAGTTTGAATTATTACACTGATAAAAATCACTAAGAAATAATAATTGCTGAGTGATTTTTATTCTATTTGGATCCATACCAGATACAAATTTAGTAGACAATCTCTAAAAAATACATAACTTTGTAACACATTTTTTGATAATGGAGTTTATTTTTAATTTTATACAGTATAATTTTTAATATGATATTTATAAGTCATTTATATGTTTCTTTTAACCAGAATCTGAGCATACAAAAGTAAAGACTTGAATTCTAATATTAATTATATAAATTTTGTATTCTTTACATACTCGTATATTATTTTTTTCTTACCAAGGCCTAATTTAAATGTTGACATTTAGTTTTTAATTTATGGATTCATCTGCAATTCTTTCTACTAGTCTGAAAAATAAATTTCAAGGTCAGATTTTACACAAAATATTATATGGTATACATATGTATGTATGCAGGACCGGCAGTCCTTAGCGCCCGCTTGCCATTTTTTCCCTGGCGCCCCCGCCCAACTATTTTTTTAACTGTTTTTACAGTTTGTCATTGAAATCATATAAAAAAGTATGTTAATTTATTTATATACTAATTATTAAGTTCTATAGATTAAGTTCTATAGATGCTATATTTTTTTAAAAAAAGATATTATATCATATATTATATATCCGAATCTCGTGATGGTGCCCTCTACGATGCGCCCGATGCGTTCAGGGTAGCGCCGGCCCTGTATGTATGTTTGCAACAAATGTAAAATGCATGTTTCCTAATGTGTCCAGGTGAATATAAAGGTAGGTAGGTTTGCGTCTCATCTGGCTGCGGAAGTCGGCGTTGGCGCGAGAGATGCCCGTGCATCTCGCCTCGCGTTCGGCTTGTTAACCGTTGCCGGTGTCGGAGCGGTCGGGGCGTCGACTATTCCCTTTTTGCAATTCGCAATCCGCGCTCCGCCACCCATCTCGGAGGGTATGAACAGAACAACAGAAATTGCATCTTGTGACATATCTATATAGTCTTTATTGCGCATTCTCCGGCCGCCCCTTCGCGAGTGGATCAATTAATACTAGTCGACGATTCTCAAACTGACATACAATCGTATTTCGTATTATTCACTATCGCGAACAATTCGATTGGGAATCCGGGCCTAAACAAAAATCTAAGCTATCAACAGACCGAAACATGCGATGCAATGCGGCGCTTTTTGGCTAAGAAACATAATATCCAAATTTCCAATAAAAATTAACACGTTAATCGCCACGATTACACCAGAAATAATTTTACATGAGCCATGATAACTTAGTTAAAAATTTATCAAGAAAACTTAATGTGGCTTAGGGCAAATTGCTGGAACTTCCCGTACCGTAGTTAAAAATCTTGGTACGGAACTCAAAAAAAATTACACAAAATGTGTACACATTATTAAAATCTCTATAAAATATCTGATAATACAGTGTACATATGTCCAATAAACATTTTACTTCCCGTACCGTAATTAAAACTCTTGGTACGGAACCCGAAAAAATTTACACAAAATGTGTACACATTATTAAAATCTCTATAAAATATCTGATAATTCAATGTACATATGTCCAATAATCATTTTTGACCGCCAAATGTCATTTTTTTAACTTATTTTTATTGAGAGTCCATAACCGCTGGACCTGCTTTCCCAAAATTTTAATCAGTTCTTTATCTTGTCAATACTAGTAAAATGTTTTTTGAATTATTGAAATCGGACGCTCCGTTCTCTTAAAAACTGCGTTACCGTTTTTGGTACTTTTTGCCCCGTATCTTTGGAACGGCTAGACCTGCCTTTGCCAAAAACTAATCAGCACGTCTTCTTATCAATACAAATCGAATGTTTTTTGAATTATTCAAATCGGTTGATCGGTGCTCCCGAAATCGTCGACGAATATTTGTATCCGCACACACACACATACATCCATTTTTTCTAAGGTATTCCAAAATGTTCAGAAATCTTTGAATAGTAGATATATATAAAAATTTTCATATTCGATTTTTTTGTAATTACTATAACTTGCCCGGGAAGTTACAAAAAATCTGGAAGAAAACTATTTTTCTTCTTTTGTCAAAATTCCTGGAAGAAAACAATTTTATATGCCACACATACAAAACTTATTTCTCCTTCTACCACTCGCGTATGTCTGACATGGCTCATGTAGAACTTTTCAGCATCAGAAACATATGACTGACATGGCGATAAACGCATTCATGATAAATTAAATACTGACTTCTTTTTGATATTTTTTCCAATGTTCTATGTAAATATAAAGTTTCTTAACGTACGTACATCATTAATTTGCATCAATAGGGGAAAATGTATAGCAAACGAAACAAATACATATCTACCTTATATCGTAATACTAATATTAATTTATTTGTATAGACTCTATACAATTAATATTGGCTAGCTCTATATACTATAGAGACCGTGGATTTGCAGAAACTGGTTCTGGGTTTGATACAGACTTTGTTTAGCTTGATATCAAGCAGTAGTGATATCAGGTTTTTACTTGAGATTAAAAATTTCAAATTTGGTATCTTGGTAATATAATCTCATCAGAAAGAAAATTGTTAACCACTAAGTTGCCTCTTAGAGATATTAAGTTAAAGAACTGCATCACAAAACACACAGTTCTGATTGCTGTTCAAATATAAAAAATATAAATAAAATAAAAAAAAAATTTGCTAGTATATTAAAATTAAAAATAAAAAAATAAGAAGAACGGTTTTGTTTTTGTAAATCAACACGATGAAAATCAAAATTATATATTGTAACTTTCTAAAATACATCATATTAAGTGAATGATTTTTTTTTTTTTATTTAACATATAAGTCTA